AGGATAGTTAAGTGTCCTAAGGTAGGATGCAAAATCTAGTTTGGGTGATACCAAAATCTATCATAGTTTATAGTGAGAAAGCCCATCGGGTTAGAGGGCAGATGGAGATAGTTAGAACCAGATGGTTTAAATGAGTACCCCCTAGTTGGGTGCAGGTACAGCAGATAGTGTAGAACCTTCGGGCGGACTACTTAAATAGGCACTCAAAAGATGCACATGTGGCTTGATATACCATCATTGTAATTACATTTTAAAACTTCGTCTATACTCTAATAAAAAGTCTCCAAACCAAATAGGTCACCTTAATACCAAAAAAAAAATAAAAATAAAAAATAATTTTTGCTAATTTATTTTTAGCTTAAGATAGATAGACTAGTATAACAGACAGATTATTATAGATCTTTATTATTTGTTTAAATAATTGTAAGAAAATTCTTTAAAAAATTTTAGATTTTTCAGATACAAACCATACTGCAAATTTTTTAACTAATGAAATTCAAAAAGTTCTTATTGATATTGAAGTTAAAAAGTTTATTAGTATAGTAACAGATGCAGAATCAAATATTAATTTAGTAAGAAAACAAATTTCTCAAAAATATTCATATATATTAAATATTAGATATAGTGTATATGCATTTAATCTTATACAAAGGATTTAATTAAATATTCATTTGCAAAAAGAATTATTCAGTAGTGTAAAACTTTAGTTACATATTTTAAAAATTATTTACCAAATAATCTTTTAGAAACTAAAATTTCTGAAAAAAAATATTAGGTGGTGAATTAAAAACTTATATTAATACAAGATAGATAACAGTTTATGCAATATTAAAATCTGTTTATCAATTAGAAACATGTTTAAAAGAGTAATAAAATTATTAATTAAATTTTTGTAATTTATATTTAAAATAATAAATTTTATAATTTTTTATTTAGATTGTTATTAAAAATCTTTTTGCTATAGCAAATGAATCTGTTAAAGCAATTATTTGTAAAAAAAAAGAATTTTTTTATGAAGTTTATGATTTAGCTAAGATTTTTAAACCTATTAATGATGCTATTATTAAATTACAAAGTAGAAATATAATATTAGCTGATTGTTATTTTGCATTAATATCTTCAGGAAATTTAATTTATAAGCTTTCTAAAGAAGATTCTAAAGCATTTTATAAATATGCTATTAACAAATTTAATTTAAGATTTAATAAATATGAATATGATGAATATCTTTTAGCATATTTTCTTTATCCACTTTATAAAGATAAGTAAATTTTATTATTTTATTTTTAACTATTTAATTTTAAATTTATAAATTATTTAGATACAGATATTAAAAAAAATTAATTTTTAAAAATTGCAACATCAGTGGCAAATATTTGGCAACAAATGATAAAAATTTCAGAAATTGCAGTACAATTAAAAAAATATAACCATTCTAAAGAACAATCAGAAGATATAATTGGTTCTCAATTTAGAGAATTTTACTTACAAAAAGATCTATTTAATACACTTTTCTTATTAAATATTAATACAGCTTTAAATTGGTGAAAAACTTGTATAATATCACTACCATATTTACAATTACTTGAAATTAAACTTTTTCTATTACTCTACATACAGCAAGTTGTAAAAGAATTTGGTCTATTTGTAGATGGATGACAGGAAAAAGAAGAACAAATTTATCAGTTAAAAATTTAGAATCTTTAGTTAAAATTTATTTATATTATATTAAATTTATTAAGAATTATATAATGTATAAATCAAAGAAGAAAAAGAAGATAATAATGATAAAACAGAAAATATTAATTTAGGTTAGTATAATTTAGACAATGTTGAAGAAACTATGTAGGAAAATCTAAATTTATTAGAAATAATTGATTTAGAAAATAATAAATTTGAAAATACAGATAATAATCAAATAATTAAAGACTTAAATAAAGATAAAATAACTACTTTTATTCAGATTTAGAAAATGATAATGATTATGATTTAAGCCAAAAAGTACAAAAACATTTGAAGATATTGATAAAATTTATTATTTTTAAAATTAAATATTTATATTTTTATTTATATTTATATATTTAGATTTTTTTTTTAAATAATTAAGGTTTTTTTTATCTCAAGCATATAATATAAAATTTTTATTTATATTATATAAACTATATTTTATATTTTGTATTTAATTT